CTCTTGGTCTCCTCGATCGACACAGCTTTCTAGTTTAACCTGCCCTAGATAGCATGTGGATCTCTGCCACAATAACCGCGGCCCTACTACAATCCTCCTACCTCATACCTCTTTCTCGCTGTGTCCACTTGTGTCTGTCCTTGTGTGTATTGGATGCGGTAAACATGTTGAAACGCGCACATATATGTACATATATATGTTGTCAGGAGGTGCAGATCTCGTCCATATTTATTCCGACGATTGACTAGCGCATGCCTGTCTATCGCACGGCCAAGTCCATACGGACGTGCGTTTGTACATTTAGCAACAACCTCTTTGTGTGTACTTGGCTGGTTTACTGGATGGACTCTTACAGCTGCCCTCTATCTTCCGACGGGAATTTGACTGTCGTCTGCTAAAGGTTCCTTCTTCCACTGGCCTCATGCTCCCTCCTTGTGGTCGTCGACTTGTTTAGTGCACGTTGAACGGAGGGGAACTGTACTGCCCAACCCCTACTGTATCCATGCGCGTGTGTGTGGTCACCGTGACTTCACTGTGCCTCCCGACCCCCTATGTCTGTTAAGGTCCCCCTCTCTACAACGCCTCCAAGCGCTTACCCCGCTCCTCCAAACTCCCGCATTTTATTCGCTACGGAACCCTAACACACCGATGGGGCACGCAATGAGTAGCCCGTGGCCTCTGTACTGTGTGGTTCTCCGACCGCCGTGGTTCTCCTTCCATCTTTTACCCTGTGCGGAGCGAGTCTTTGTTTTCATGTCCTATCGAATGTACCTCTTCCTCCACTGTCTGTCCCTCCCCACAGCCCCATACCCTTTCATCTGCCGTACTTCAATCTAGTCTTCTACCGAAAGAAAAGTTTCGCCTCTTTTGTTAATCCAGGATATGTTAGGCCTACTGGGGCGTCTGTTTTGTCTGTGTATGGGCGGTAATCGCATTCCCATGACACGCTTCTCTCCAACGTTCTACTGAAACCGTGCGGAATTCGCTTAGGTATATCATTGGTGGCCGTCGTGCAGGATATTCGATCTTTGAAACATTGTTTTCCCGGAAGAAATTTGAACAAGGCGAAGATCACGAGTCGAGCAGGAATTATTGACGTCATACAATTTCGTGACCTCTAACTTGTCTGCAAACGGTCATTGCCTGTTAATATAGTAAATTAACTGTCCAATTAGAA